TAGGAACTTGGATGCATCTCCGGTCATGTGCTTGGAACATCCGCTATCAAGGTACCAAAGTACACTTGATGCCTTCAAGCATACCTACAAAGATGATTTAATAAGATTTAGGTACCCAAGTCTTTTTGGGTCCTTGAGTGTTAGGTGCAAAGTAGTGTGATTCATTTTGTGCCCAATGCCTATGCCTAGTAAAGCAAACAGGAGCTATATGTCCTACCCTATTGCAATAGTGACAAACTACGTTTGGGTTATGTATCCTCCTAGGTTGATAGTAGTTGCTAGGGGACCTAACCGCATTCATCCTGTTTTGAAAAAAACTTGGTTTTTGAAAATTTTCCCTTCTAGGTGTTCTAGGATTATTATGTCTATTTGAAAAATTATTTTTATGCACAGAATTATTTTGATAACTTTTCCTAGGTTGTCTATCATGCACATTTTCATTCCTAGGTTTTGTCTAGGTTGTATAGTGTCCCTAGGTTGACTAGATTTTCTATTATCCTGATTTTTAACTTTCTTATGTTGAGCCTTAAGATGTTTTCTAGATGTTTGCTCAACGTTTTTATCCTTAGATTCATTTTTATCATAACCTATTCCTTCCTTAGAAAAGTGCATGGTGTCTAGAAGTAAATTAAGATCTTTGTGTGGTGTATTAAACTTCTTAACCGTACTCTCAAGTTTTGCAACTTTTTCTTTAAAAGTCTTGCAAGATTCACATTCACTTGAAGAACTTTCTGGTTTGTCAGCGCTTCTCTTACCATAAAATTTATTTTCTTGTTTCAACCTTTCATTATCTTTTTCCAGTTTGTCAAAATCATTTTTAAGAGTTGAAATACGTTTCTTTAAAGATTTATTGGTTTTAGAAGCGCTAACAAATTCATCATAAAGCTCATGAAGTGCTTCTTGCATTTCTTCAAAAGTATAAGAGTCGGAAGAATTGATACATACCTCTTGAACGTCGTCTGTTTGATCTTCGTGCGCCATGAGGCAGAGGTTGGCGGCTTCCTCCTCTTCTTGATCCGTTGACTCATCCCCGGAGTCGCCTCCCCAAGAGATGTAGGCGCGTTGCTTTTTGAAGCCAGGTTTGTCCTTGCCGCCTTTGCTTTTTGGACACCTCGGCTTGATGTGGCCTATCTCACCACAACCATAGCACTTCGGGGGCCCGTCGTGCTTTCTTCCTTTTCTTTCAAATTCTTTCTTCATGAATTTGTGGAACTTCTTGAT